GGGGTTGGGGACCGCTGCCCTATGACACACATTTGTATAAATGATCAGAAAACAAGTAAATATTTTCTTGACTGGATTTTTTTCTTTTTCAGGGTCATTGTGTTGTCAGAAGTTTTTTCTTCTTTGAACCATTTGTAGTTATTTTCATTCACTTTGTACATTGTTTGCATTTCTTTCTTGTTTATATTGTTGTTCCTTTGTTATTTGATTTGGTTGTTTCTTCTGTTTCTTTGTTGTCATTTGATATTTATGTCTAGTTCTTTAATAAATTTTTCCATTTCACTTGTGATTGGAGAGAAGCACCATATCATTTATATTATGTCCTGCTCATTAATTAATCTGTGATGTACATCAACTAAATGTATTTAAAGCTTTCAGTACCTGCGCAGTCCCATCCAGAGGTGGTCTGTGAGAGAGAAAGGAATGAGGCCCAGCAGCTGCTCCAACTCGCTTTGCTCCTGTTGGCTGTGAAGGCTGAGCAGGTCCCAGTAATAACGTCTACAGTACATCAGAGCATCAGACCAGCAGAGCCTCTCTCCCACCACCGTCACGTTCCTGCCACCAAGCTGCAGGCTCACAGGTGGAGGAGGGGTGGGAGGAGGTGGAGGAGTTGGTGAAGGAGTAACAGCTTCTGGAACTACAGGGAAGTACTTTGTTTTAGGATTCTGTTTGTTTAAGCCATATTTGGTTGCTATTGTTTTCCTTTCATTTTAACATGTTCCATTCAAATATTCTGTAGTTTAATGGTAAATACAAGAAAAACAAAACAAAACAACAGTATAAATCTTACAATAATAATTTAAGCACACAAAACCACAACGATTTCTAAAAAATAGCACAACAAGACCCTACCTGATAGAGAAGCAAACACCTCCACTTCACACAGGGTTGCGTAAGTCTTTTTTCCTGGTATGATCACAATGATGTAGCGACCTTCCATTTCATTACACTGGAATGTGTATGTTGGTGTACCATCTAATGATTTGATCATGCCACAACTGATGGATGAAAGTTTCAGTGTAACTCTTTTAAATATAATGTTCAGTTTTTTAATAAGGAAAAAATGTTTATGGAGAAATGCATGTTTATCAGAAATCAAATCTCACCTGGGGTTTTGGTTACCATTTTGATCCAGCAAGTTCCCGATCAGGATCTGTACCCCAAGAATCCTTGGAATATAACCATCCTGTCTGTTGATGATGGTGACAGCACTGACTTTAGAGACAGCCAACAAGTCTACTCTCCACCAGGGAACCATGTCTTGATCATTGTGTGTACAGCA